ATCTTCAAAACTAAATAAGAGCACTAGAGGGAAAAATGGTTAAAGAAATGAGAGCTATGCAAAAAAGTTATGAAGACAAGTAACAGCTTGGTAAAAGAGGTATAAAACCTTATCAAAGAAATTAAATCCTTTAAATTATAATTGGCCATATAGAAGTTAATGACTCCATGAGATATAAATAATAAAACAAAGTCAAAAGAGAGAGTAAGGATAGAGAAGACTTGTGAGTCAGGTACTGAATCTCCTAAGAAAGAAGAATGTTTTTTAAACCCTAGAGCTTAGCTTCAGAAATAGTAAGCACTTAAAAGCACACTGACTGTTGCTGAGAAAGGAAACAGAATAACCCTGAAACCAGTAAGTTACCACAAAAATTGAGTGACAGAAATGTAGTCAACCTCACAGGAGGTTTACTAAGTAACAGTGGCAGAGAGAAGGACTGGAAGTTTGTTCCAATATTGGGGGGAAGGGGAGAGATTGGCCTGGGGTGGGGGGGGGAAGATAGGGGAGAATAGAAGACAAAACATGGAATACAGGAGAAGATAGAGATAGAGCATCTTCTGGAGGAAGTCACATTTTTGAGAATGCAGAAAGATGGGGAAAGATTAAGAGAAAGATGACTAGGATGAAGGGACATTTGTTAAGACATCAAGGTGGAATAGGCAATGGGGCAAGAATGCCTGCAGATTCAATCCCTGAGGAGCCAGAACTAAAGCCCAATCCAACCAAAGAATTGTGCTGGTGATAGAGGACTTCAGAGTCAGAAACAGCTCTATCTAATAAGAACAATAGTTCATCATTATATAGTATTTTCAGATTTGCAAAGTACTTTACATACATTTTCTCTGTGATTATGAAAGATTAGGACTTTATTTTCCCCTTAGAAATGACAGGAGAGGAAATTCAGGTTTGTACCTGAACAGGTTTCTCTTACTGCCACCTACTTAGCCACCACTCACATGAGTGCTCAGTGGTAATGGCAGGCTAACAAAGTTCTTCCCCCACACATAAGAAAAACATAGGACAGAGTAGGTACAGTTTCCACACAAAATAGGGGGCCAGGTCTAGGGCTCCCATATAAAATACCACCATCAATACATAACAGGACAGTAAAGACATCTATATTATTGTCCTGTCATATACTGGGGGTGTTAGTAGTAAAAGAACAAAAGGGCAATACCAAAAGATTAAAATAGCTAAAGAATAAAGTGCATATGAAAAAGAGTAAGAACCAAATTAAGTTTTGAAAGGATATTCCTAGATTTAGAGTTAGAAGGGACCTCAGTGGCCATATAGTTCAAACTTCTCATTTTACAAATGTGTAAACTGAGGACCACACTAGGTTAAGTATCTTGCCCAAGGTCATACAAGCAGTAAGTGACAGACAAGATTTGAACTCGTCTTCCAGACAATTTCCTCTATTTCTAAAACAGCACTCTCTTGGAACTCAAATCCTAAGTCAAAAAATTAAAGATTTATTTGGAATATTTAGTTATGATATAAATTATGCATACCTTATAAATTCAATGGAATTAGTCAAAAGTGAAATCAAACAATTTTGATGCATATCTAAAAGTTTCTGCTATTTCTCCAATAAAAATTCCTATTCCCTCTGTACCATTAAATTCAGTGGTTATACAACAACAAGACTGGATTAATTAAAATACAAATCAAAACAACTCTAAGATGCTATCTCACCTCCATCAGATAGGCAAAAGAGACAAAAAAGGAAAATGACAATTACCGGATGAAAGTCACACACAAAGATTTTACTATTGGTGGATTGGTTCCATAATTATATAAAGCAATTTGGAGTTACATCCCAAAATTTACTAAAATGTGCGGATCCTCTGACCCAGTGATATATGACAAGGAATAAATCCTTCCAAATATCAAAGGCAGAAGGAAAGAACTAATATATACATAATATTTATAGCAGCACTTTTTGTTGTAGCAAAAAACTGGAACAAAAGTAGGTGCCTATCAGTTGGGGAATGGCTAAACAAATGATGACATATGAATGTAATGAAATATTATTACACTATAAGAAATAACCAAAGGGACAGATTCACAGAAACTTGGGGAAGACTTGTATAAAATGATGCAGAGTGAAATCATTAGAAGCAGAAGAACAATGTACAATTTGAGTACAACACTACATATGAAAACTTTGAAAGGCATAAGAACACAATGTTCAATAAAATGACCAGTCAATTCAGAAGACTGATGAGGCATACACTTTCTTTACAAAAAGGTGTTGGGGCTGTATGTAGGTACAGAATAAGATAATAAATTTTTAAACTCAATTTTCAAAGTCCCTGCCTTTAAGAAGCTTACATTTCCTAGGGAGAAAAGATACACATAAATATTTACAAAATAATTACACAGAAAACATTTTGGGGGAAAGGTCACCAAAAAAGGTAAAAAAGGGGGGGGGGGGGAGGGAATACCAAGGTAACTTTGACCAAACTATAATGAATCCTACCTGGAATCCTGCCTCAAGGATCTGCATTTCTTATCTAGGCTGCCCCATTTGATAGCTTCTGAATCTACAGATTACTAAAAATAACATGTTTTTGTTTCCTTTCCCCCTTACCAAAAGGTGGAGTTAGTTGGACAGTGACTGAAGAGATTTAAATCAGTCACATCCAAATCAAAGGAGGAATTGCTTGTACATATAAAATATTAAAAATAGTCTTACTCATTGCTAAAAATATTTTAAAACACATTATAGACAATATTAGATATCAATAAAACCAATTAAAGAAGCTTTGTAACTATTTACATTTTTAAAATGAATTTAAATGCACAAAATATTCTAATTTTTTTGTCATTCTCTATCTTCGTAAGGGACCTTTATTTGTCTGTTTAGTTTCATTCTCTTTTTCCATATGGTGGTCATAGACTTCTGGTCCTTCACTTTCTTTCTTTTTTTTTTTGCATTATGTCATAAAGGTCTTTCTATATTCTCTATTTCCTCATATTTGTCAATATATCAAGTATATCTCAATATTCCAATAAATCAATGTACCACAATTTGACCATTTATTTATTGCACTTAGATTACTTCATTTTTTGCAATTATAAATAATGTTACACTGACAATCTTTGATAGTCTCATTTCTAATTCAACACAACAGCATGAAAAAATCAAAAAAGTTTCAAAGTAACCTTTAATACTTTCAAAGGTATTTTGCTCCCTCCTCCAATTTTACTCCAGAAATTTGTCTGAATCCCTCTTTTTTCTCTCTACTAGCACTCTATCTTTATCTATGCTTATAGTCCCATTGACAGTAAACTTTTTGGAGACAGGAAATTGATTTTTAAATCTTTTTATTTCAAGTTTACCATGTTCCTTGCACATATGCAGATATTTGATGTTTGTCAAACTAAATTCTGAATACTTCAATTTTCAAATTGTGGAATCTATTCAACTTGGACATATTTTAAAGATTTACCCAACAAATTAATGTTGGTTAGCATCTACTCTGTTTCTGGTATCTCATGAATATTCCTGATAATACAGAAGAGAAAAAAACATAATTTCTGACAAAAATTTCTGGAGACAAATGACCTAACACTGCCTATAAAACAATTCAGACTACCATTAGGAATGCTAAATTTATGCATTCCTGCGAATGAACAAACAAAAGGAATAGCTTCTAAGCAGAAACTCCTGTCTCTTGTTTTTCCACAGAACTATGTAATGCTACAAGTTAAAACACAGCTCTACGTGTATTTTGTGCCTACCCAGATGTGGGTGTGTTTCAAAATGTAATTCTACATGCAGGAATGCATTTCAATTATGCCTACTTATGATTAAGGCATAATACTTCTGCCTTCTTTTTATATAATTTTATTACTCAGAGAAATGTCTACACAACTCTAAAACCAGTCTTGAAATTTTACTATATATGTGCCATAAATCTTTCATCTACTTAACATTATTCACTTTTTGAACCCTTTATTAGTAAGGAATAGGCACAGGAAAAAATTTTCCCATTCTTAGTTTAGATAAATGAGTGATTGTATATTGCTGTATGAACTAGAACTTTTTCTGCCTTGGTATCTCAAAGAGTTACAATGGCTGTCTTTCTTCAAACATAATAAATTTGTCTTTTAAAATAAGCAAAAGAAAAATTGGGGGCTCTAATTAATTCAGAACTGAAAATTAAAGGACAGAAAAATATCACAATAGAAATCTGTATATTATAAATCATTTTAGAGCACAGAGATTTTTAAGACTATCTACTTCAACCCCTTCTTTTTACAGATAAGGAAACTAAAGCCCAGAGATACTAAATGGGTAACTTGTCAAAAATCATCTAGCCAGCAAGTGATGGTCAGAATTCAAATCCAGGTCTCTCAACTCTCAGTTCTGAAACAAGAATAAGAAATTTCTTAAATGTGAATTAAAAACTAAAAAACAAACTACTTAAGTTAACATATAAAGTGAGATTCATTCTGAAGTTTTACATATCTTCATAATCTGTATAAAGAAAAAGAATTTTTAAAAAAATCTGTATAAAAGTATATTCTGAGAAAGACATTTACATATTAAAGCAAAAAATCTAAACCTAATCTAAAACAATTCTATTTACATTTAGGAATTATTCATTACCATTTCCACCTAAACCAGATCAAGGTTTCCTAAGTAAGCCATCAGTATCATGGGAAGTTGGCAAAATTCATCCAACATTAAGATTACAACTTAAAATGTATTCCTTGAAGTCTATGGTATTAACCATATTGTGGGAGGAGGGCTCACTGTAAAATACAACTAAATTACTAAAATAAAACAAAACAAAACAAAAAAAGCACAAAGTGACAGGATTCTTCTGACTGTGAGAAGAGCCTGTTGAAAAGAATAACTTCTAGTTTGACAAACAAAATGAATCCTAGAACCTAAAATTTTGAATGGCTCAGTTGTATGGCCCTTTACTATTAGCTTCGGGAAAGCACAGACAATCTCATAACAGCCCATCTCCTCTGCAGCAACTCACCTGGGAGTCATTTTTGTATCCTCTGGGAGGAGCTCTGAGTCCATGCTGCTCTAGCACAGCCAACCCTGCTGGCTTCCCCTTAGAATCAGGATCCAAGTATGAGAAGCAACTCTGAACAGAACCCTGGTGTTCATCAGTCATAAGACAGATCAGCTCTAAATAGAAATACAATACAGATGTCACCCCCAAAACATACAACACATAAATCTAAAACCAAAAGGGTATTAGCCTTCATTTCATCACTAGGTTAAAACACTGCACATACAAAACAAAAATAAGGGAAAGCCACAACTGACCTCAATTCATTAATGTCCATAATATTTTAAAGAGAAACAGTATATCTTTATATTAAAAACATTATATAAAAACATAAGAGGCTGGGAAATAACTTTTTTTAAATTCTAGATGACCGAAATCTATGTCAATAAGGAGCTATTTGACTGATGTTCTTATTTTATCTAGAATGTGGTTACACTTACACACACACACACACACACACACACACACACACACACACACACACA